TGGAACCTTTGGTGTAGTAATGAATATTACTGGAGTTTTTTCCCAACACCAAATCGTTATTTTTAACACCTCGACACGTGTTTCGATCACCAAGTAATCATCTTCAAAGAGGAAGATTAAAACTGTGGTTTTAATATTACTGGGAAAAACTCCTGTAATATTCCGATAAATCATGTGTGCAAAAAAGTTATTCAAGGTTAAAGTTCCACATTTTAAGCATTCACGGCACTTTTATTTAATCACAAACATTATGAATTGCTTACAAGTTTAGTAGGTGCCTATCTAATTACAAAATTTCAATTACAAATTGAAATTATCGCGACAAGATTGTATTATAATTTCAATTCTGTGAAGTCATAAATGAACGTGGTTAATGTGATTTAAAAATTTATTTTGATGTTTTCAGGTCACTTAAATAAAAGCTTGCTTTAACAGTTTCTTATCATTATTTGATTTTATATTTTTTAGTTTCAATCGATAGTTATTGATCAATACGAAAGTCCATCTATAAAACGGAGAGTCCTTCAACAGAAAAACTTAAGGAACGGTGAAAACTATTATTAGGATAAACTATACTCTATAGAAGTAGGTAGGTACCTACTCCTCCGGCATACCTTACAGAAGAATTAGCTTGTTATATTTTTAAGTCTATTCATTTCATTGATGGCGTCATTATTACACGGCCGAGTCCCAGTTTATTTCGAACAGTCTAATTCTTCTATCAGGAGACCTTTGGTGTTTCAAGTTAATGCTTTCATTGGCAAGTTTTTCATTTCGTTTCAATTTCTCTTTCTCTAACTTCGTTTCCTTTGGGTTGATGTTTCTTCATTTCCCATAGTGTTCCCACGAGTACCGAAGAAATATTCTTCGTTTAGCAGGGTAAGAGCTGATATACAACAGAGTGATGCCACTCAATCCTCGGCACGGCCTCACTTCGACTTGAGTGGTAATTTGGTGAAAGATGCGCCACTTTTTTCAGCTTAGAGCTTACTCGTGTCTGACGAAACACCGTTCCGGGTATGATTTTGGAGTTTTCCTTCTCCTAGACGGGTTGCAGACCAATGCTAATGACGCCCATCTCACCAAATTACACAAGTCATGGTATGCCTCTTGTACCTGTTGCTAACATTGCGTGATGGACCCTCTTACTCTGGGAACTTAGAGGGTGGTAGATAATAATTTTTTTTTACAATGCAAATAAATATGGGTTCTTACAACCTGCTACACCATTTATTGTCTTCTTTTTTAGAGTCGGGAAGGCATTTAAAGGTAAAAGCTAGATTTAATTGTTTTTCTAGAATTATTTTTTTATTGAAGCCAGCCCTGGATGTGGCATCTATTTCATGGTGGGCCTACCAACTGCCTATCATAAACGAATGCGTATACAAAATTTCGTGTCCCTGCTATTTACCGCTGAGGCGATCTCTCGTACGGAGCCGATCCTGGCAGCAGCATCAGGTCACGTTTATTATTAACATGCATTGTCATCGGTTCTGGACCAGCATGCAAAACTTCAGGTCTATCGGATACCATGAAGTGGGTCAAATTAAACTTGCAAGATTTGTTAACATACATACAAGTCAAGTTAAATAAAAGCTTTTAATAATTAATTAAACATAAATGAAAACTCTCAAACATACCTAAACATATTCATCTCAATAATGAACAACATTCATAGGACATTTATTCCTGCTACTGCACCCCCTTATAGATGAATACTTTCAAAACATTCAATATACTACACAAACTAGAGAAACTCCAACACAAAGGATATTACCTGATGTAACCCTAATACAGGCAAATTTAAAGAAACATCCGGATGATAGGAGGGGACAGATGCAGGTATTTTCCTGCACTAAGGCGTTCTAACCGTATAAAAGAACAAACAAGAGGATAAAACGTTCATTTTGAGTAGAGCCATGAATATGATAGCACAGCCTGCTATCGAAAGCGCTCGCATATAATAAGTTGAAGTTATTAAAGCTTCACATCCTTTTTGTGAACTAATAGTCATTGACTGAATCAGTTGTAGCTGAGACTTTCATTCTTGCAGTGGCAGATGAAACTGTTTTTACTTCATATGCCATTTGACTGCATCCAACAACTGACTCAGTCAATGACTGAGTCAGCCGTTGATTTAGTCGGTCGTTGACTGAGTCAGCCGTTGACTGAATCAGTTGTAGCTGAGAATGACTGAGTCAGTCGTTGACTGAGTTAGTTGTCTGACTGAGTCAGTTGTTTCGTGTTCCATTCGACCACAGCATACAACAACTGACTCAGTCAGTGACTGGTACTATCGCAGTAGTAGACGAAACGTCAGGCATAAAAATCTGCAGATCGCGTCCAAAAAACACTGAAAATAGCTTTGACAGAGTTATCTCCGGCCGTGAAAGTTTATCCCCTTTGATTTTATACTTTATCTGCTCTCACCAATGAATTTCAAGTTTTTCAGGTTTGGCAAAACTGTGTAAAATGATAAACCTCCATTATCCTGTTCAAAATCAACTAGATGATTACATCAAACATATAACATCTGAGAACAATATATTAACAACACCTTTTCGGTTACCTGCATGAATATAATACTTAAATTTTAATAGAGCAAATTGAAACATTCACAAATCTGCATTAAATCAACAGTCAAGGATAAAAATAGTTATTTAAGAGTAATGAAGCAAGAAAGAATCAAATAGTTCAACGTTTAGTTCTCCGTGTATCTTACTCAACGGGTTTGATAATAAAACAACGGATTTTGTCACATACAATACCAAACATGTTTTTCTATTATTGAAATCAAACATATAACTAATCATCTATTTGCCAAAAGGGAACTGGTTTATTTGTTAACTCGACTAAACACTCTATGTGACTACTAACTCTGTTAATAAATGTATTTCTATTTAGTTTCGACAAGACATTTCAAATTTGGAATTTTCGGGAAAATCTAAATGGCATTCATATTTCAGTATGAAGGCTGTTTTTTCAGATCCATAGTCACACCATTATCATAATACATTATTGATAGTTTTGGACCTCACTACTAAAATTCAAAAACATTTCAAAATAGAAAAACTAACGGTTTACAGTTGCCAAATGTCACATTCTGAATTCATTAGTATTCATCTCGAACTGCCATATTAGCGTCTTGAAAAAACATTCGACGCTCTGTTGTTTTTTCAGTAAGTGCAACCATTTCACATTTACTTAAAAAAAAGTAAAATCATAGAAGATTCCAACTATATTTGCTGGTTTCAGTCCCAATGCATTATCAAAAACCTATCTTCTATATGCCATTCCTAACTTTTTTCTCATTATATAATTGATAAACAAATAAAAATTTGAAGAGATCATATCAGATGAAGGTTTCATTTGGAGCAATATATTTTTTTTCTGTGTTGGCTACATTGTGTATATGTCGATTTTCAGCTGTCATAATATGACAGGTGACATGTGAGGACAAACAAACAATATACACCACAAACATCATATACAAACAGCAAATAAAACTGTATGGACTTACATATTATGTAAATGATAAATTTATGGATGTAGCCGTTGATACGTAGTAGGATATCATTATGAAAAACGAGAAATTAAACTTTCTGCTTTCTACCACATTATATGTACCAAATCTAGCCAATATAGATTATTGTACTAATTTGAAAGTGTCCTTATTGGACGGAACATCAGTACGTTAGTTACAAATGTAAGTCGTAAACAACACAGTTTCTTTTCTCATTTTTCATTATGTTAATGATATTTGTCATGTCCATACAGTTTTATTTTCTGTTTGGAAGCTTTTTTTCATTGTAGTCATTTCAGGATTCATACCAATAAAGAGTTTGTAGCACACACAATTTTTCTGTGTTGGTTACTCTGTTAATTTGACATTATTGTCAACTGTCACATGTAAATGATGTTTGTAGTATCCATGCACTTTCATTTATTGTTTGAAAGTTTTTCCCATTGTTCATATCAATAACTCTGTACTTTGTCATTAGTGTCAGTTGTCTTTTATGTAGTTGAAATTTATTTTGTTCATTTTTTGTTTTTATTCGTTGTTTTCATTACATTCACTTACTACTGAACATTCATTTCAGGCAACAGCTTGAACAATTTACATGACAATTGACACTAATGCCACATAAACAGAGTTGCCAACTCCGAAAAAAAAAGGATCATGGTACATGATCTATTACCTACTTATTTGCAATTTGATGAAATATATTTAAAAAATTGAACTTCAAAATTATGCACTATGGGTGTGTTAGAGATGTGTTTAAGGACCTGATAAAGCTGCTTTTAGGTATCCTTATTTTTATCCAAAATGATGAATACATTTGACATATGCCCTCTAACCATAATCATAATTAACACAATGTTAGATAAATTAAGTTCAAGAGAATTTTTTTGACCTGACTTCAGAAGAACTATTTGTTCATGCTAATTTCTGGAGGTCTAAGACTATTGGTTTTAAATAAAGAAAAATCAGCATTCAATTTGCACATGCCTTGAAACTTTTCGTTCATATTAATTTTATGATCATTCCAACATGTTTCATGGCACTGGATTGAGAAATGCAGTACCGAACAGACTCCGCAGTCACTAGATATGTAGCTCGTCGATTTCTTCTCTCATGGATATTGGAAAAGTGAATTCTATAGTAGAAAGTCTATCATAAAAATTGCCGTTACTATGTGAAAGCAACTGGTCATTAGTTTGAAGATTTAATCAACTGAGTGATAATCTGCTGAACACCTTCAAATTTTCAAACGTAATTTTTACAAAACTTTTGAAAAGAAATTTGAAAACTGTGAAGAGAATTTCAAAGACTTCCCGTGTCAATTAAAATTTTTGGGGTGGTTAACATCATTTGGGAAAGAAAATGAATGAGTCAAAAATTCCAAGAAAAATGTTCCCCTTTAATCAAAAAGAGACGCAGTTTATAATACGGTCCTGCTTCTTTTTCTGTATTATAAAACCTTAAAACAGGCTGATTTTTCAAAGTTCAACTTGCTAGAGACTATTCCAGAGTTTAGCATAGACAAAACCAACTCAAACACTTTCCTTGGTCTCTCATCCAACTGGAATACTGTAATCCCAAAGACGAGCACTTTTATCAATCACAAGAATTTCAATAATCTCGCGTGTCTTCAGGAAATTGAGAAAACTAATTCCCAACTCTAAGATCACTTTCATTCTCGTAGAAGTTCCCGCAAATTTCAACAGAGTGAATCATGAGAACGTAAACGATGGGCTGTTAGGAATGGGACCTTTGTTACTGTTCATGATTCCCACGCCACGCTTTGCTATTTCCAGACTTCAAAACCATCCAAAAATCTAGGGTCATGTACCGGTTCCAACAGTTTCAGACAGTTTTCATGTATTCTGTGGCGTGTTCTTTGAAACTAGTTTTAATGGTTCACTTAGTTGGACCGATATATTTTTTGTCACCCACTACTGTCACGTTCAACATTTTTAGAGCGGTTTTTTTTTAAATACAACGTGAAAGTAGCCTCCAAAACTCCCTGCTCACTTGAACAAATGTTAGGTAAGCCTAGATGTTGGAAAATGAAAAGTCCGAGATATTTGGAGGCTGTGAGGACTGACATAAGTACATCGGTCAGACTAAACGAGCCAAATAAACTCGTTTCAAAGAACACACAGCACATATACGATTTCAGAAACCAGACTAGTGTCGCTCAACACGCCTAGGAGAACAGCCAAAGAATGAACAGCCAAAGAATGAACGTCCATAAATAGTGAAAGTTGCGTTGAGAAGAGTATATAAATTCAGGTGATTGATAAAAGTGCTTGTTTTTGGATTTATTCTACGCCAGAGGTTCCAGTTTTACATTCTATTTGAAATACTGTAATCGAGAGATTCACCAAACATTCCACAGACCGAAAATCTAGTTGTCTTCTACAAATGATTTTGCAAAAAGGATAGCATAGTCGTTTCGTAATGCTTACTGGCATCCAAATGTCTCAGGGAATGCCTCTCGTTCGGATAGATCTGCAATTGGTAAGGCTTGCCCGCTTTTATCATACCATTTATGAGCTGACTTGTGTGATAGAAGTGAACGTTTTCGTCTATGAGACCATGAATAATGAGCAGCCTGTTTTCCCTAAAATATATTGATTGTGTAATGTAATACAGCACTATGATTGTAATACTCAAACTATTCAAGCTATTCGATAGCTTTCTCGAGCGTTTTCATACTGAATTTTTGCTTTATATAATGACAATTTGAATCATATGACCTTCTACCTACTCAATGACTAATAATGTTACCTGAGTTTGGGTAAAAACCAATTGAAACTTCAAATATCATCTGAGAAAATTGTAAGAAACACATTAAATCGACATGTGGTGAACCAATTACTAACTTCCACATTAAAAAACATATTCAAAAACGTTAAGATTCCAATTCTTTTCAGTCATTCAGTAAATTTTCAGAATTCTTAAATCCATCAATTTCTGAGCATTACAAAAAGATTGAGTACTGAGAAAATTGTAAAAAACTCATCAAATCGACATGTGGTGAACCAATTACTAACTTCCACGTTAAAAAACAAAATCAAAAACGTTAAGATTCCAATTCTTTTCAGTCATTCAGTAAATTTTCAGAATTCTTAAATCCATCAATTTCTGAGCATTACAAAAAGATTGAGTTTCAAACCTCCAACTTCCGAATGGATTACTTCATTGTCATGATTCAACTCATGCCCCTCGATCAGGAGATGGTTTGAAAATGTGAGTAGATGAACTATGCCGGTTCTATTACACCGGAAATCCAACTAACAGAAGCAAACGGTTACGACAATAACAATGAAACGAAAAAGAATAAACGCATACAAAACGATCGAAAATGCACGTAAAACGATCGAAAACGCACGAAACAAGCGCGAATGCGTGCGTTTTCGATCGTTTTGCGTGAGTCTTCGATCATTTTGCGTGCGTCTTCGAATTTTGCGTGCGTGCGTTTATTCGTTATCTTTTCATCGTTATTGTCGTAACCGTTTGCTTCTGTTAGTTGGATTTCCGGTGTAACAGAACCGATGTAGGTCATCTACTAATGTGGAATGTTCTTTAACTCTTCGGAAACATATTCTCCCCGTTTGGCCAACATAAAGTTTTGGGCAAGAATCACAGGTTAACTAACATACTCCTGATCTGTCCGACTCTGAAGTATTTCCTTTATTGCTTTCACTAAATTTGCTTGAGTTATTATTTGCCCGGTAACCCACGTCCAGGTCTTTTTTTTCAAAAAACGAGCGATGTTATTGGTTGTTTCACCAAAGAATGTCAATGTTCTATGATGCTTATTATTATTTTTCGAAGTAGGGCAGACCTGCTGAATGACTTGTTTTTTCAGTTTTTTGGAAAAATCAAGTAGATAAATCTACCTTGTAACCGATGTCGACAGCTTAAAACATGTCGATTTAATGAGTTAACATTTTTTACCTCAACTCAGATAAAATTATTTGTCATTACGTAGGCAGAATGTTGTGTGACCCAAATTATTATTATATAAATCACAAATCAAGTAGAATTCAGTCACTATAAAAACGTTTGCGAAAGCTTTCGTGAACTATTCAGTGAAAATTTCACTGGAAAGTCTACTGAACTGAGTTGAGGAAAATTCACTTACTCTTCAGGAAATTTATTGATGTAATTCAAAATGGAGCCTTCATAATACCCTTCCGGATTGTGGTCCGGCAAATCCATGTACCTTTCTGTATAACCAGTGTCATATAAATTCCAATTTGTGACTGGAGCGCCAGCAATTGCGATTTTAAAAACATCTGGATAACTTATCAGACCCATTAAACTTAAGTAACCACCTGAAAAATATTTTTTTGTTGAAGATTCACCTGTAACTTCATGAAAGTTCAATATTTCCAAAGAAAAAGCACTGCCTGATTCAGAAAACTTCAAATATCACATATTCCCTTAAAAACATCTAGAGGCTTCATATCAGGTGATCTAGTAGGCTCTTCTGAAAGATCCTGTTTGCTTGTCTACTAGTTTAGAAAATTGTGAAACCCAAATTAGTGTTCAAGTAATATTAGGTTTCAGCAAGATATAACTAGAAAATCTGTTGGACAAAATTGTTGTGAGATAGTTTACTCCACTATCGAAACATTTTATGATTGAATCAATTGTTTATGATGGAAACTTACCGTAAGACCAACCGTGTATTGCCACTCTGTTCAGATCGATATAATTCAGACTATCAGATAACCATTTCAATACTTCAACTTGATCTTTCAATTCTACGGTGCCCATCTTTTTTTTAATGTAACTTTCAAACTGTATACCACGGTGTTGAGATCCTCGAGAGTCTATTGCCACAACACAATAACCTCTGGCTGCCAACATATGCATTCTTAATTGCCTCATTCCCTGAAATTAGAAATATCAATACTATATTTTATCGAAAATTTACATCGATTCTATTCAATTATTAGGGACCTCAATATTGAATTCATTTTAGCTCTTTACGGTATGGTGAGATATGCTCTGCAAAGGTTTAGAAATCCTCTGAAATTTCTCACAATTTGAGGTACCTGAATTTCAAGTACCTGATTTTTTACCTAAGTAACTCATTTACCTGAATACGGGGTGTTCCATTTGAAAAATCAAAGAAGCCGCTGCTTTATAGTAGAAGCGACAACGCCGCTTCGTCTAAAATATTTTAGACGTGTAGGTCATATTGACTTATGCATACTGTGGAATTTTCAGGTTGATCCGTTGAATAGTTTGCCAGAAACAACTAATTAACACTCATCATGAAAAGCCCTGTATTGTACGTGATGCGAACTGAAAGATTGGTTTTATGTTAAGAAACGCCAGGGATTTTAAATGGGGACTAGGAATTCTTCTTTTCAATGCCTTTGTCACATCAAAGCTCGAATACGCTTCAAAAGTCTGGAATCCGCAAACAGCATTTCATTCAGAGATGATAGAAAAAATACAGAGGAAATTTCTTAGGTACACCTACCTCAAAAAAAAATAAAGAGTGTCCCTCTATGATCTCCTATAGGACTCAACTAGAACATTTTGACATGCCAACCCTGTCGAATCGTCAAGGCTTGAAGATAATAAATGTACCTGAACTCCTTAATGTGATCAATCTTCATGTTCCCAGTGCTAGTCTAAGAAATCGCAATAGAGTTTTCAATGTAGACTTTTTTTTGCTGTGATGAATTAAAAATAAGAGTCGTTTAAAAAAAAATGTGCCATATATACCTGTTTTTATTAAAGTTTCTCTTGTACGTAATTTTAGGTGTTCATTTACTCTGTGTATTTTAAAAACCATATATTTTATGTACCATGACATTGACTGTATACATGTAATCGGGTGTAAACCTGTTGCAGTTTAAATTTAATGCGATTAACTATAATCTTTTTCAGCTCATAAATTTGCCATGATTTCAATAATAATTGACTACACTATATGAATAAACTCAATTTTCTTCCACAACACAAACACTTTGACTGAAACTTCATGCTAATACTCAAATGTCGCCTTATTAGATTACTTTGTACCACACTTTCAACTAGACTTCCCCATCTGCCTGTTGGTAGTGTTTATATATCGCGATGGAAATCTCTGAAAGCCAATAGGAATCTTCTCGAAGTAAAAAATGATAAAGAACTGAATATCCTCAATTCATCAGTAATAACAAAAACTGTTATCAAACAATAACTTACCTTAAAAGTATTAGAAACCAACTGGACTTCAGGACCTCCGTAAACATTAAGCACTGTTGGGTACTTCCTCCCAGTTTCAAAGTTATGGGGTTTGAATACCATAGCGTAAAGTACATGACCAGAACTAATCTCGTGAGTATAAAGATCAGGTGAATAAAATTCGTTCGTGAGGGTAGCCGATTCCATGAGATAACCGAGAGGGGTGAGAGTTACTCCTTCGACTGTCCAATCTGAATGGACCAATCTGAATACTTGACAGGCAGGAGGTTTATGGATGTTACTATACACTGTAACAATCAACGAACAATCCTGAAAACAAAATATTTAGAATTATAAAATAGCCACAAAGTCTATTGTTATTTGAGAGAGAACGTATATATTTTAAAAGAGAAATCAAGAACTGAAACACAACAAGTTTACAGTCAAAATTTAGGTTGGTTCAAGGTAGAAGTTTCAAGTTTAGAGTNGATAAATTTCAAGTTTAACGTCGAAATTTTAAGTGTAAGGTCGAAATTTCAAGTGTACAAGTGTAAGGTCGAAATTTTAAGGTTACAGCCGACATTTCAAGTTAAAAGTCGAAATTAGGAGATTATTCACGAAATTTCAAGATTATTCTCGAAAATATGAGATCATCCTCTAGATTTTGAAATTAAAGTCGAAATTTTGAAATTAAATATTCATACCAACATACCTTATTGAAATCTACTGAATATGAATACCCAGGCCTCGTTAGCAACCTGACTTCACCAGGTCTTCTGAGAGACACAACATACAAATGCTTCTCCAAAGGAGTCTCTTTCAACCCCATGAAGTAAACCAGCTGTTTCTCGTTGTCCACCCACAAGTTTTGCCCCAAAACCTCCCAATCGCCAGAAGTCAAAGCTACTTTCGACAGGATTCTCGGCTGCAAATAAACAAAATCCATCGTTTCCGCGTTTTCAGTGATACCATTCACGTAAGGCATGATCTGAGCCGATATCAAGTACAGATGCCTGAAGCCAGATTCTTCTGATGCCCAAATGAACTGCATTTCGTTACTATTTTCTGAACAGGGAAGGAAGTGGAGGAGATCATGGACGTTCACCCATATCGAAGATTCCTGAGAGTAGATCACCTGCACCGTAGGATTAGTGAGATGAACGTTAGTCGAGTCTTCATACAGCGGAAGAACTTCTGTGAAATTACTTAGGGATAATAATACTAGTTCAAGTCTTTGCTGGCGTCTGTCAAGAAGCTGGACCCAAATGCTGGAATATTAAATGAAATGTCAATTTCTTCGGGTTTTTGGTGGTGGATTTTTGGAAGAAATTAAAAAAATCCACGCCTCGGCCGCGAAAGCCCTAACCGTTTAGTCAAAATGTCAATTTTTTTCAGGATTGCATTGCATTTAAATAATAAAATTTCAAATACTTTTTATATGGAATGAGTCTACATCAGTTGAAAGCATTCATGTGAGACAGCATTGCAACTCTGTCAAAAGATCACTATCCATGATATATCTATACATTGTCCACAACAAATTTTATTTAAGACATGTTACACTACAAAATGTTACATCAAACTTTTTCACAATGTCTTTTATAAAGCAGTAGTTAATTTCAAAACTTTCGAAAATCAAGTAGTTTTCATAAAAGAGCTCTAAAACAACGCATTTTAAACTTATCATTTCAACCTTTTTCTTTAAATAANGTCTGTAGGTGTCTTGGACGCCTGCATTTGGGCCACCCTGTATATTTTTCATTAGATTGTGTCAATGCACATTTCTGGGGAACTCATTTTTTAGCTTCAAGTTCAGTTTTCTTTTCTCTTGTCTTTTTTTTGTTGTATTCAACGATCAGTTCGAAAACTGGAAATATGTATGTGAAAGATTTCCTTATCAAACTAATTCCATAGTACTGACAAACTAAAATTGAGATAAGGAAAGTTATTATTGTTTTGTGGGAACCAAAGATTTCAATAATGTAATTGTATGTTAGGAATCACACATTAAAAGGTAAGACCTCGTTAATCCTTAGCTCGCACAAGTTTCGACTTCTGAGGGTTGTCGTTCGTAGGGGTGCGACAGCTGGTCAACGGAAAAACAGATTCCAAACAGATTTTTTAAACAGATATGCTTGTAAATCATATTACTTACTATTCTCCGTTTGGTGTCCAGCCAACTCTTACAATATACTCCATCCATGGAAAAAGCAACGACAATGAGAATTGCAGTTCTAGCATGCAGACATCGATAATCTGCAAATGCTCATTGACTTTGAATTCCATCATTTTGAGGTATGACTTGGAATTGGCACAGCCAGCTCTAGGAAACCGAAATTCTTCCACTTCCCCAGAATCAGACTGAGAAGAAGGAAAACAAAAAACTTTCACGTCTCCTTCATCGACTTCTTCGTACAGTATTCTGTAGATGCCACCTACAAAACAACAATATATATATTTTATTGTATTGAAAACAGTTTTCACATTTGAAGATTTTCATTTCATTTCTTCATTAGTGTGTCAAGTTCTATCGATAAATTTCTATAGTTTTCCCAAAAAATTAAGCTTGAAAATTATTATCTGCTAGATAAATTATTCAGGTACAGTTGATGCAACCACACAAGTCCTCAAGACAGGATATAAATCGGTTTGATTGAATTGGTAGAAAAGTATCTTGCAGAATTGAATGTAAAACCTAAACCGTTTTTTCGGGTATTTATACCATCCACAAATTGAAAGAAATAAAATTCATACGGGCTGATGATAAACCTTGATCTTCTCCACAATTAAATGACTCCTTCAAAATTGAAGATTATTTGAAAACAGTATTCGAAAACTAGAACACATTGTAATGGATTTGTTTTGTGTGTATAGTACAAGAATTTGCAACAGAATCTCATTACTCTATTTCACTATCCAAGCAACTATACTAAGATTCTTTGTGGAGTGTAATTTATTTATTTATTCATTAACAGGTAACACCCAATTAAGTTTAAGAGATTTCACAATAAATTATATGAATACAACAAATAATTACATCTAACTTACTTGCTAAAAGACATTTGCTGTAATAACCCAAATTGAGGAACATTCCCCATTACAACACAGTATTATTTATAGGAAAACAGGTGATTTATGAATATGCTAATTATTGTGAATTTATGCCAAAACTTAACCAGATGAAAGATTGATTCTGGAAAAACAGGTAGATTTTGAAAAAACAATTACAAAACCTACAATATTGATTCTAAAGACAACAGAGATCCACTTGAATAAGCGGGATTTTACAGGATTCCATGTAGCTGTGATAAAGCTTATATGGGTCAGACGAAAAGAAGAATTGATACCCGCCTAGTCGAGCACAAGCGGAGTTGCCGATTGGGACAGACCGAGAAGTCTGCAGTCGCTGCAGAAATGAGAGCTTCAGTTTCAGTTGATACGTCAAAACGAGTACTTCGACAAAAAAACTCTTGAAAAACAAAGCTAAAGCCGGTCTGGCTGAAAATTCTTGTAGGACATTGAAAAATTCCTTACTCAAAAAACTACAGTGAATCACAGGAGACAAGAAACATACGTTGGTGATTCCTATAAGTCTGTAGATGTCTTGTACGCCTGCATTTGGGCCACTCTGTATATTTTTCATTAGATTGTGTCAATGCAAATTTCTAGGGAACTCATTTTTTAGCTTCAAGTTCAGTTTTGTTCACTCTCGTCTTTTTTGTTGCGAATCGAAGAATCAGTTCGAAAACTGGAAATATGTATGTGAAAGATTTCCTTATCAAACTAATTCCATAGTACTATTTATTAATAAAGAATAACAGTGAGAAAATAAATTTACTGAATTGAAATGTAAATTAAATAAATGAATGATTAAGATATGGAAAATTCAATAATTGAGGATGTTATGTTTATATTTATTACCGTTTATAATTTATTTCTAAGCGAGCGTAATGCAAACTTAAATTTTGTTTCGTTCAATGGAAAGAAGTCCAGATCGAGTTTATTACCTTCAATAGCAACTCTAGACAGGGAAGAATGTTTACCGTAGTTACAACGATGAAAATCCATCGCAAATGTTTCTGTATTCCTTGTACTTCTAGAAGGAACATGTAAGCCAATTTGTGCTAGCAATGCAGGGCAGCTAATAAGAGAATTTAAAAATTGGAATAAGAGTTTTAAGTCAGTTTCCACTCTACGACTACTTAGCTTCATTATATCTGCAACCCTACGAATATCATCTAATGAATGGTCCTTCAAGGGCATTTTTAACTTGAACGCCAAAAATGTAAGAAAATTGTTTTGTACCCATTCAATGTTAAGTGCAGTGTAATGAAATCTCTACAATACATAACTCATTTGAATGAATGATATTCTTGTTTGACACAATACATGTATCAAAAAGAAAATCAGTAACTCAATATCTACAAGGTCTGTTAAAAAAATGTTCACTTTTCTCAACAAATATTTATTTATTCATCAATTTCTATGTTGTCCCCTTCAAAGTAGCCCCCTCAGATATAATACAGTTCTGCCAGCGTTTTTCCCAATCCTCTAAGCAGTTCTAATATGCAATTTTTGGTATGTCTTTGAGCTCTGTCAGCAATTCGGTTTTCATCTGCTCAATCGTCACAAAACGCCAACCTTTCACCAGTCTCTTCAATCTTGGGAACAGAAATAAGTCGCAGGGTGTCAAATCTGGTAAATAGGGTGGCTGAAGCATGATAAAAGTGTTGTTTTTGTAACCGTACAACCATATGGCAAGAACTCCTGATGTACTACGCCATACTAATCGAAGAAAACAGTGAGCAAAACCTTGACAATGATTTGGACATCCTTCCTCTCTCGGCGCCCTCACTGAAGCGCTTACACCACTCAAAAACACGCGCACGAGACAGAGAATTGTCCCTATAGGCCTCTTGCAACAATTCACAGCAGTCAGTCAGATTCTTTTCCAATTTAACGAGAAATTTGAGGTTGATACGTTGCTCTTGTTTTTAGACATACATGGTTTTTGGCTCAAGAAAAAAACACGTTCGTTTCAAACCGCTACTGCACAAATACTATAATAGTGACGATAATGTGTTTTGGTACGTGAATAGAGAAGATTTCCAGATACCCAACGCACTACTCGTTTTTTTCCCACCCCTCTAGGCGCGCAGTCTCGTTATTTAATAGCCGGACCTCGTATACCTGTTACCCCTAAATCAAGGTTTCTTTCATTTCACTTTCTAAGTGAACGATCAATAATCATAAACTAAAGAAACTATGATTCACGATAAGTTGTTGAATCTACTAGTTAATACCTTCAATACCAAATATATCAACATAATTCAAATACGATGCAAAGTACTCCTACTTGCCTAGACATTTCGGCTGCCACCAATAGCCCTGATATCTAGAAAACTCTTCTTGCATCACATAGGAAGGAACGCCCGCACAGAGCGGATCGTCAGCAAGATTTCTACCACCTTTGTGTGCATACGTCAGCCTTACATTTGATCCTGAAACTGTATGCGTTACCCATATATCATGATTACATATATAAGCTACAAGATCAGGATTTGTAGGACAAATCTGCGAATTAATTTTAGCTCCAGCTGCAGTCATCCTCAGTTTTGTCGGAAACAATTGTCCATTCTGAAAGTTAAAATTCAATGATTCATATATAATTCAACTGGAAGAGGAATATTTTTAATAGTGATTAGTTTTTGGGAAAAAATCTTTTGGCTGTCGCTTCATCATTATATATAGAGGATGAAAAACTTCCAAAGAAAGGAATACAAAATATATGAAAAAAGAAACACAATGAAGAAAAAAGAAATAAAATTTTTCAGAGGTTTTTCAGTTTTTATAAAGTGCCATATAAACAGTAACACCCTCTCAACTTTGGAATGGGGTAACAGAATTTATAGACACCATATCAGGTGATTTTGCGGGCCATTCTGAAAGACCATGCCTGTGTATCTGCTGGCTTGAAAACTTTTGAGTAGCCAGATCTCCGAAATCAGACTGGAGCACCATGTTGGCTTCAAATTCGTGACAATCATACAGAAGTCTGATGAAAAATTTTTCAAAAACCAACGAGCCATTAAAACGACTAGTTACCAGCCAAAAGATTTCATATAAGTATTATAAAAAGCTTTCTCACTGAATATCCACTATCTATACATTGAAACAAGCTGCTTGCTGCGGGAAACACAACTTTCCCTGAATCACTGTGGATTTCATAGGAATTGATACCCCATGTGGTCATACGTTTTCGCTCCCAGAGCAATTGTTCTTCTCTGGAAAATTTGTTCAACGATGAAATACTGGGAAAGTTTGATTCTATCACACACTGCCACTGGAGTCTCAAACTGTTTGGTTGATTGGTGTTGGGTACATCAGCAAATAACAGAGTAGTTTCCCAACCATTGTGTGGGGTGCTCAGGAAATAAATTCTTGTTCTACCATCCTGCAGGGTTCTAAATGTTATGGAAGTTGGAACCATAATTGATAAGGTTGAAAGTTGCCTCCTCAGATCACCCACTACTCCTTTGAGTTCTGACCAAGAATATTTTCTATCAGCTTTTTCTTTATCCATGTTTATTTAAGTTTAATCTTATGGAAGTATCACATCTGTTATTTGTGTTGGTCAAGTTATAAAAATAGAACTGAGGTAAAGACAGTGAATTATTATCATTTTCTTCTCTAATCAGTGGTGTTTTGAACACATTAATCAATAATGACCGTTTGATTATATTTTTAGTTGAATTTTTCACAGTTTCATACAAAGTTTCAACTTTTTCATCTAAAAAATTAAATTAACCTTACTTATTTCTAAATAGTTTTCATTGTCCTCATTTTTTACGTTGCCAAATATTTCCAAGTAAACAAAGATGTCGTATCGAAACAAAAAATGTGACATGTACATATCGTTTTCATTGGTGGATTAAACAAGTAGGTGCCACTCAAGTATATTAAGATATACTAAGGGATTGCTCAATTGTTCTGATGACGAAAAAATGCAGAAGCTTCAACACCAAATGTATTTATAAAGTGAACCAAAAATAACCAGAATGGAAAAATGAAGAGGGAACATGCTATTTTTCTGAAAATCCAACTCAAAAAAATGATATATCACCAACAGATTTGAAAAATATAGCAATTTCCACTATAATAGTATTTATCTCGTGAATAAATAAATGATTCACACGTTGATCTTTCTGTTCACATGGTATACATCTCATTTGTAACGATATTATTCACGTATCAAAATTTGTCAACTTTTAATAAATATGCGAATAGCATATAATAGCTCAGTTTCAAGGTTGTCACGAGTTTTCCGATACCGGAAGAATAGGTACTTCCTTCGGACTTAGGTGCCGGAATCGGAGTATTTGGCACGTGCACATATGAATAGAAAAATAAAAAACCAAATCAAATATGAAATATGCCGATATCGCTGATGTCAAATAAATGGAACATGTGTTCAGCTATAGACTTTTGGACCACGTATATATTTTAAATTGTATTCTTATTCTAGATTGTCGAAAGAAAATTGAGAGGAGAGATAAATTATACAAAATAATTGAGTTGTTAAAGTAATGGAGCAAGAATATACCATAGATTTATTGGAAAATGTAAACGTAGAAGACTCTGCTTTCAAACAAATGTGTTGGAAAGTCGCAGAAGGTGCGTGAATATAATCAACACAAAAAACAATTAAGCTCCAATGACTGTTTTAGATATCAAGAATGGTATTCTCACGTTTATGGATTTCATATTACTACTAAATAATTTTTTAACCAATGATTCTCCGTTGAAAAGAGAACGAGGAATTACTGTAGTAAATGAAGTTTTGAAAAAATTGCCCCCGGAGTTTATGACTTCTCAGGAGATTCGAGCAATCGCTGAGTATTATACTGCAAATTTGAGTCATCATCATCAGGTGAGCATAGCAAAGTTTATTGCGAAGAGATCTTTTTGAGACAGATCTGTTCATGGGATCAGAGTGTATCTGGTGCAGGGGAACACCATCAAAATAATTATAACAGGTGCCCCATTTGGTATACATTGTCAATCACTCCAGAGAGTTGAGAGAAAGGACCACTACACCTTATTTTGGGTACTTGAGAAACACTTGGATTATCATAATTGTCAGACCGAAAACGCTGAACAATTAACTTATTGAAAACATGGAAACCCCAACTGCTTTTTGGAACATGGGAATATATACATTTAATATTCACACCAATCATAATTGTAACTTATTATTATCACATACAAGTCCATATGGACTTCTGCTGTGCCTATAGATGTATGCACGTACACCAATTCATTTCAAATTTTGTACCTCAAAACAAGTATCTACTCATCTATCGAGTATCTCATTTATTTGTATTTTGTACTTTATTGTAATCGGGAACTTGAAATAAATGATATTATAAATGTTTTTCTATGCGCCCTTCCTAAACACATTTCTTTGTTTGAAAGTATTGAAATTCGTTTTAGGGCCTGCCTTGTACATTACAGGGAATTTTAACTTTGATAGAATTTGAAAATTTTCCAGGAGAATGTGTTCCTGATCTTCTGAAATCAATCTTTCGGAATGTTTCTTGTCAGCAACAGCAGCGAGCTGACAGATATAAAATTTACTGCATATTCCATATTTTGTCAGTGAAGTTTCAAGCTGGTAAGTACCACACTCGGAAGTCTTAACCGATATATCATTTTTGAATGTTTTTTCCAGAATTGGTTTCGATGAAATTAGAGTATGTTCAAGGAGTGATGAACGCTATAGATGGCGAAAGGGATCCTAAAAATCTTCTATTTTTATTCAAATGGTTGAGAATATTTTTTTCTTTCGTTAGCTTGGGACACTTGTCTGAAGATATGTTTGAAACTATAGCTTGCTACTTTCCAGTTGATTATACAGTGCCTGTCAACTCAAACGTAGGTATTTTTTGTGTTGCAAGTCAGCCCAACTTATTTTCCATAATCATTTTCAGTTTTCATATTTTTGAAATTATCAACCAACAACCATATTTTAGAGTCCTACAAGAGATGATCTGGCAGAAGCATTGCTACCCTGTTTGTGTGCCATTCCCGATTTTGGAAAGTACTGCATTCCATTAGCATTGGAAAAATCGAAAGCTCTAGGGAAAGTAGCAATACTGGATTCTTTGAAATTACTGGTGAGTGAAACATCAAAAGTATAACTTTACTTTGGAAATATTTAGCGTCATATACGTTTTAAATAATTTATTTTTAAAGTAGTACACACCCCTCTTAGTTAGTCATCTCCATTGGGATCCTTTAAACTGTTTGAACTCAAAGGAAAGGTGTCTCGTTGTAGATACTCTTCTCCTATCACCTTGGTTTGGTTCATTCTGTAATAAGGCTGGATTATATGATTTTATTTAATATTACAAGGATTGTGGTGTGATTTAAAAAATTATCCATATCTAACTTTATATTTATTTATATGATTTTCAAACATAATACTGGAGTAAAGATTCATAACTTCTAGTTGTTCAAAAATTGGTTTTCAAGATTCATCTTATGTGCTACCAAAGACAGATTATTATCTAAATATGTACCAAGAAATTCAGCACATTTAGTTTCAACACTTCATTGATATTAAATCACTTCTCTGCAGTTGACATGTAAGTTTGACTGAGTTTTCACTTTCATTGATAGGATAGAAAGAGTATGCATCATCTGCATATAAGATAGAATTTGGATTGTCATATGAGTATATACCATTTGTAAAGTTAAGTAACTCGTTTGTATAAAGTAAAAACAAGAGGACCCAAGATGGAGCCCTGGGGAACTCCCTACAGTCAATTTCTCACTGTACTTATTATTCATGAACCACTACTTGATGTCTGTTTTTATAGTAGGAACAGATTAAATTATTTGTATAAAGTAAAAACAAGAGGACCCAAGATGGAGCCCTGGGGAACTCCCTACAGTCAATTTCTCACTGTAATTATTATTCATGAACCACTACTTGATGTCTGTCATAGTAGGAACAGATTGAATTATTGGCTAGCCCAAAATAACAACTTGCTCAAGAAGCATGTTTATACATTGTTTTTTCTGAGTATGTTCGCCAAAACTTTTGTAACAATTGAATAAGGTGCATTCATATGGCACTGAAACCTTTGCTGTCACCAAAAGAAAGAACAAAATTCACCAAGTTAGAGATTGACAATGAGGAGGAAGTAGATATTAATATGATTCCTGATAAACTCAATACATATTTTGTAGAAAGTATCAATAAATTAGTAGAAAAGTCTATAAATGGTCTATAATAATAACAATAAATGATTTTATTGAACTAAAAAATATGGGATACCAACTGATAGTATTTGATCTGGTTCTGAATTCACTGACGTTATTGGTATTTATTATTCGTTATAATATTGACTTGTTACAGCCATTCACATTATTTTTTTTTAGTACTCTCTTTGGAGAATAAAAATATGGACTAGCAGCAATATTAGGTTGGATAAGCTCACAATCATAATTGCAATCATCCGATCCAGGGGTCTCCAAACTTTGAAGCCTTCGGGCCATAATGATTTTTTCAGTTTGTTCCAAGGGCCAATTTCTGCCCTTAATANTTGTTTTCGAATTTTTGTAATGTAAAATGAAAATAAATATTTAAAAGAAAACGAGAGCATATCTTACAAAACCATTGATAATTTCTTGAATTGTGAGTACTAATACACCCAAAATCAATCTTATGTCTAGGGCAACAAAAGCACTGTACACCAGTGTTATTACTCAGTTGAAATGAAAGAAAGAAGTCTGTCAATAATTTGCTATTAGTACTAAGTAATCTGTATTGAAGTGACCACAAAGAATACTTTGATTTGTGCAATTTTCTTAGCTATCTTCAATATCTTTGTTTCAGAGAAAAGGATGTCTCGTCTTTGAAATATCGTTGTATATTGACAGTGCTCCAGAGATCTGTTTACAATTACTACAACTGATATTCTCGAATATCAAGAATAATCCTGAAGTAGTAACTGAATCTCTTCAAGTACTTTCTGATGTGATAAAGAAAATTTCCGAACAAGATGAAAATGAACAGTATAAAGCTTTATTGAGCAACATAATTGATACTGTGAAGGGGAACTTGTTACCTGCATCTAATCTCTTCAAAACTTCGATTAAAATTTTGGTTAATGCAGCTCTTGGTTCAAAAAATTCAACCAACTACGTTTTACAGGAAATTGTACCTCTTCTGACGAACGTCCATCAAATGACAATACAGGAGCTTCAAAAAGTATCGGTTCTGAAGTCTCTAGTGGAATTGACTGAATGTTATTTGAAGTATCATGAAGATTTCAACGGTTGCAAATGTTTTCCGGAGCTGGCTAGAGTTCCTTCCTTGTGTTTAGACCTACTCAAAAGTAACATCAATTTCAAGAAGGAGGCGTACAATTTCCTGGCTGTTTTGGTTCCCTGTCTATCCACAAATGAGAGGTTAGAACTTTATCCAAGGCTAAAAAACTCTATTTTAATTGATACAGGGCCTATTCTGGAGAAAGCTGTGTTGGATTGTCTGAAAGCTTTAGCGAAATATTATTTTGATGAAGTAAAAGAAAAAGTATTGTCTTTCGATGGATTGGACTGTGTGGAGGTTGATAGAATTTTACATGCTCAATCTGTGTTAGGTCATTTGAGGGAGCATCGAGATTACGTTTCAGATTGCTTCTTGCACTGTCTTAGGAGCTCTAAGTATGCTACAACTGCTGTGGAAAATATTATGATGATGTTGCGAGAAACCGTAAATGATTTTGGAATCGCGGAAGCCCTAGTCGAAAGGGGTGCGGTAGATATCTTGATTGAACTAGGCTTGTCGAATGAAGACAATATTAATTTAGTTCGTAACATTTCCGAAACTCTGCAACTATTAATAGGACCGCAGAAAAAAGAAATTCAAGAAGAAATCGTCATTAGGCACTTGCAGACAGTTTATTCGTACACACTTCGATCAGAAAACAATATAATGATGTTGAATGGTATTATCTTCAGGCTGAGACAAGACGTTAATGTAATGGACAATGTTCTGGAATTGTCTTTTACTATTACCAATAGTTGCGACGAGTATTATGCAGGAGAAGCCAGGGAGCTTTTGGCCAATTTAATCAACAAATATCAGAATGGTGAGTAGCATATCACACAAGAATTTTTGGGAAATAAAGTTTTTGGCTTTCTACTACTCCATTTTGATACAAAAAAAAAAGGATGAGAGAGTCTTCCACAGAAAGGAAGGAAGTAACTCTATACATGGATGTGTAGATCATGCAAAGAAGTAACTTTGAGACACAAACTGAAAGAAAGTCCTTCTGAAACAGCTACTTTCATATAAGCATTGAATTATTTGAAAGAAAAAAATCTTTCGAAACAAATACTTCTGTATGAACACTGAATTATACAGAAGATGCTTTTCTCTACTCAGTTTGTATTTCAAATATTCGTTGTGGAATAAAAATCAGATATTCACATGAGTTCTACTTTAAATGAATGGTAACAACTTGCATTTACATGGAACACTGTCATCCTCACTGGTATACACCGATGTTTCGCCTTAAGACACTTGCCCTAAGGCTCTTCAATCAAGCTTATTCCGTGACATTAGAAAATCGTAATTCATGAATGAAGTGTGTGTATTTTCTATAATGTTATCCAATTTAGTACTGAAGATTTAGTACTGAAGTGCAATTTGTTACCATTCATTTAAAGTGAATAATACCTGATTTTTATTCCACAACGAATGTTTAAAATGCACACTGAGTAGAGAGAAGTATCTTCTGTATAATTGAGTTTTCATATAGAAGTATTTGTTTCAAAAGAATTTTTTTTCTTTCATGCAATTCAATGTTTATATGAAAGTAGCTGTTTCAGGAGGACTTTCTTTCAGTTTACGTCTGAAAGTTACTTCTTTGNAAATAATGATAGCGTACGCAGCGCCCTCTTGATGTTACATGAAAATCAATACGAAATTATGATTTCCCACATCAAAAAAACCCCGGGTACCGAATTTTGTGCAAATAACTCATTTTTTGCAAGATTTATTATCAAAAAGCGAAAAATAAAAATCAATTTTAACACCCCGTATCGCCGAAACGAAGCAATTTTGGACACAAGTTCATATAGACTTTTTTTCTTGAAATTGTCTCAGGAATACGTCACTCAAATATTTCAACATACTTATGTTATACCCTGTATGTGCATATTGTACCACAGTGGCTTAATAAATTAATAATCCTATTATTTATTAGGATTCAGTACTAATGACCTACCTTATTCCATCTCACCACCTTACATACCAAGTTTCAGCTTGGCAAACCTAGTTGTACCTCTGTAGATCAGCTGTCGGAGTGGAGCGAGAGCTAATTAACATCGAGGAACTCGTGTAGTTAACATCGTGTTAGTACAGTATATGGAGAAATTATTCTGTGTGGTTCCCGCTAGTTTTGTCAAGCTGTACTTCTAATCAACAAGCAAGGTAACAACCGAATTGGTTATTGGTATCATTTTTCCAGGAGAATTGTTGAACACTCATTTATCAACTCTGAAACAAAAATGTTTACAATCGTTAAACACTCAAGTTACAAATACAGTACCTACGATAGCTTGGATAACTAAAGCACTTCTCATGAGAAACCATCCACAGGGCATACCTTGGCTTGATTGGGTAAGTTTTCATATATTCTTATACTAGTACACAAAAATGAATATGGTGTTTTCTCTATACCCTTCAGTTGCTGGGGATGATTGAAAAATACACTGAAGTACTGGATGGATTGAAAATTATTATGAACGATAGTTATGATTCAACTCCAAACTGCCATTTCATCATAATGTAAGTTGTGTTACGTTTTTTGTAAGGTTGAATAATTATGATGACTTTGAAGAGGTCTCCTTCTTCTGCTTCCAACCAGTTGATTTCATTCGAAATTTTTCTTGTAGCACTGCAGGTTCAACAGTGTGGGTTTTCGTTATACCACGAATTTTCCAATAAAACACTGAAGAAAAATGTCCTCGTTTAATAGGGTAATAGAAAATGTAACTGAAGATCTCTCACACTCTCTGCCTTTTGTAAAAATTGCTCTCAAAAATATTGAATATTATTTATCATTTGTCTGTAACTATGTCTGTAGTTTTGAACGTTCATTTCCATATTTTGAATTGACGATCATTGGAGAGGTACTATAAGGATCTATTCTTGGACTTCTCCTCTTTTTAACATAAATGATTGACGTACCTCTTTTTATAAAAACCTATTATTCTTGCCTCAATAACTCATCACGTCTTTTTCCATTTCATCTTTTATTTTTCATTCAACAATCATCTGCTATACATANTCGTATTAATATCAATACATTAAGTAAGTGGAAATTAGACAAAGTATTTTATCTATATCATTTAATTGAAGATGAATTTCCACAAAATAAATAAGTCATCAATATCACAAAAAAAAGAGAATTGGATTAAACACGAAAACATCATCAAATTATTTTTATTATATAATAAATCATATTTCTGAAATTCAAAATAATTTTGAAGTAATGATTGTGTAACTATCTGAAGTCGCCATGTTTTTTACTCTCTATTATTCTTATTACGATTTTATCATATTTTTCAGGTCGTTATACAAACAAAAAGCTTTCACGTTCATATCAAATAGAATATGTGAAAATTACAAAGAAGGTAAAACTGTCTATTTGAATGCCATGGGAAGTATAATGGAATTTATTCCAGCAAAAGTATTTCTAATTCATTTTTCTAAGGTACTAGTGGTTTTATTTGCCAACGAATTTAGTACTTCATTTGTTGTTATTTCAGATTTCCAGAATAATTCTACTTTGTTTGGAGAAAAATAATGAACCAGAAATCCTACAAGCAATTTTGAGTAAGATCAGTTTTATTGCCTGTGACCAACCAGACTTGATAGAAAGTCATCTAGAAGACTTTTTAACTAGAATATTGAAATTGACTTTGTATAAACAAAAAATGGTAAGTTAGTTGGCAGAAAATGATTCAAGTCAACGTTCACGTTGGAGTAGTCCTTCATTCTAACCTGCATTTAGCGTTTCCCGTATTTTTTTTCAAGATGTTATTAGTTGAAGTAATGGTTGTTCCTGCAGCTCTTCCTGCAGCTCTTCCTGCTTTAAGCTCATTATTTTCACTATTCTTCCTACGACTTATCTTTACCCAGGCTTTTGGTTCGACTCCAAGGCTGAACGGCTGACTCATTGACTCATATCAAGCACTTTAAGTGATTGTGTTGTGTGGGTTCTTAAACCGCAATCTACAGTACAGTACAATGCATATCGAATGACCCGTCAAATGATATAAAGTCAAATAGAAACCACACGGTACAAAAACGTGTGTGACGTCAAAAGACTAGTTCATATTATCCTCCAGTTTGGCAACACTGCGCTAATTCTATCATTCCGTAAATGAACATGAAATATTAATTTTTGAATGATTTATTTTTAAGAGAGTCCATTATCAATTGATTATTCATCATAAAACAATTTCATGTATTTGAATAATAAATTTTAGTGAATTTTGAACAGTTATTTCCAACATAAATTCCCGAAGATGTTCCATGTTGCTGCTGATCAGAAACGTTAGATATTTCTTCCATAGTGGTAGCTGGAAATCTGCCTTAGTAGCAGAAGCATATACAGGGTGGGCTATCGAAAACTTGACATGGAGGTTTTGGATACTAATCTTGCAAATCCGAAAAAACGCTCTGACCATTCGATTTTTATTGGGAGGGGGACAGTTTTTCCCCATTTACAGCGTCGTCACTTCAACCCCGGAGCAGAGGGGTGAACAACCTTTAGAATTCTCTAAACAACAGGCTACATTTTTTTAATTTGGACGAACCATATTAAATTTAGTGTTGAAGTTGCTTACTTTATTCTCATGTTAGCATATTTAGTTGCGCATATGGGCACCTCCAGCTTCCATGCAATAATAGAGATTCTGCTGGAAACATTCTCAAACATTGTGGAGCATTTCTCGAGTGATTTGGCGACATTCATTTGTGATTCGTTGCCTCAAAACTTTGAGTGATACAGAAGGAGTACAGTAAAGTCTGCTTTTCAAATGACCCCACAGAAAGAAATCTAACGGCGAAAGGTCTGGTGATCGTGGTGGCCATTCGATAGTGCTCCGCCTCCCAATCCAGTGATCCTGAAAAGTCTGATCTGAATATTGCCGAACAGGTAGAGCATAGTGCGGAGGAGCCCCATCTTGTTGAAATATTAACAGATCCTCCCGATAATTGTGGTAATTTTCAATAATATCAGTGAGAAGGGGATTTATAGTATCTTCCAGAAGCTCCAGATACATTTGTCCGGTTAAATTGCCTTCTAAAAACAATGGGCCAACAATACGCTCACCAAAAATTCCAGCCCATACATTTAATTTTTGTGGACATTGAGTATGCATTTCATGAATAATGTGAGGATTTGAATCAGCCCAATAGCGACAATTATGGCGATTAACTGTGCCATTTAGAAAAAAAGAGCATTCATCACTGAAGCAAATGTTGAAAACAAAATGTGGATTTTCCACCGCTCGTTCACTAACCAACTCGCAAAATTGCAAGCGTCGATCGAAATAATCTTCATTCACTTCTTGCGTTAATTTAATCTTGTAAGGATGCACCAGAATTGCCACTTGTGTCGCCTCATTTGTTACTGGTGGTTTGATTTGCCGTTTTTTATTTGCTACAGATTCAGTTGCGCGAAATTTTCAATTAAATCGAAAACATACTGTCGCGACACATTCTTCTCATGCTGTTGATTGAACAGTTCAGCGGCTCTCGCAGCACAACGTCTATTTCCATAGTACAGTTCAATTAACTCAACCCTCTCGGCAGTTGCGTAAACCACTGTTTCTTTAGCAACACTTTACGGCACTCACTACTAGTAATAATGTAGATATCACTTTTGCAAGATTAGTACCCAAAACCTCGCATGTCAAGTTTTCCATGGCCCACCCTGTATATGCTTCTGCTACTGATGCAGATTTCCAGCTACCGTGACGTTTCATGGATATAAATTCACATTCGCAGTTGTACAAAAAATGTTGTTTGTATTTGGTGTATAAAATTCGTGTATTTATGGCATACTCGAGAGAATATTTGGCCTCGACTTGCGGTTTCGGCCAAAAATCAACACTCTCATGTGCCATTAAAAAAACATTCATTTTACGCACCTAATACAAAAATAACTTTTTTTTAGTTTGCCAATCCTTTTTTCCGGCCGTGGAAGTTAAATTTTTTTCATGTTTTGCAGGGAGTAAGAATTGCGGCACTTGAAACGCTCACCTTATTCAGTCAAAAGCTTTCAGTTTATAGACTCATACCTTCCAAAACTGAAGTATTGACTCATCTAAATCAGTGTCTTGACGACCGGAAACGGCTAGTGAGACAAGCTGCTACGAAAGCAATAAGTTCGTGGTATCTTGTGGAGGCTTCTGAATAACACTTCACACACAATGTTTTTTTCAATTGTAAGATGGAATTGTTTTGTATAAATATATTTTGTGGTTTGATCAGTGTCTTTCATTTACGCAATTTATTACAAAAATAGAAGACTGTTCTGTATGCTCAAAAATATTAAGAGGAATCGTCTGGTACAGCGTGAATCATGGTCGATGGTAGGTTAGGCGTTTCTGGAAAACGCAAAGCATGATTTTTGCTGAAAAATCATGCTATCAAAAAGTCCTAGTCATTATATTTTTTTAAATGGAACACCCCAATTTAATCAACAAATATCANACGAGCCGCCGCTGATACCAAATACGTTGTATGCGTTGTGCGTTTTGTTTCTATTTTCAATTAAGAACTTTGAATTGAAAAAACACATCACCAGAATATCCAATACGAACCCCCGGTACGATAATCTCCACCCTGGCGTGTGAAATCGCATCGCGTTCCACCGCCATTTTCATTTCCACTGATCCGAACGAGAAAATCCGCAAGTGACTGGCTTATGAAGTGTAAGCACGAAATAGGAAACAAACAAAAAAAATATTGAAAACCGTGAGCTTTATAACACATCATCCAAATAGGAATTCTTTGTAGTTAACTGCAGCTTTGTTTTACGCTCAGGTGAGGTTGCATGCAGTTTAGGAGTTTCATCAGAGTTGAGATATTTTGTGAAAAAACCGGGATTATTTATGAACATGCACAAATGTCGCGTATTTGCACCTATATGGGTGGATTGCCAAGCGTCTGTCAATTATTGATGTAGCAAAGTCAGTGGGCTGCAATAAACAATGCTGGTGCAGAAGGCGGCTTTGTCTTTGTTTTTTCTGTACCTTCGGTGCATTCAAAATGCATTATTGCAAAAAAAACTCTTCATGGACATATTTCACGGAAAAACGACAAATTTTTCAATGTACACTGCAAAGTGTTTGGACAAACTTCTTATTTTCGGCAAAATGAGATTTAATTTGACTTTTTTGCTTTTTATTCAGAAACAAAACTGGCAGTGTTAAAACGACAGCACAATTGTCTCGTCATTCCATTTGGATTCCAGGACATCGGCTGCAGGTTTCGAAAAATAGGCATCATCAAAAATGACCTTCAACGGAATGATTACTCCAGAGTGATGGTAGAACAGGCTTTAGCTAGAAGACAGTAAGAGCCCCACAACGAAGAGAAGCCGCCACAACCAGTACTTGTACTCCCCTACATCAGAACCTGCTTCAGATCTGAGAACACTATCCGTAGCAGCCTCACAAAAACCAGGCCACCAAAAGCGGACTGCGATTCCAAGAATTGCATTTACCGGATACTCTGCGAGTGCGGGGAATCATACATCGGTGAAACTAAGAGGCCATTGAAAGTTCGCATTGCTGAGCACAAGAAACACACACAGCGAGGAGAAACCAGCAAATCCGGAATAGCAGAGCATGTTTGGACTCATCAACATAACATCAAGTGGGCTCAAGCTGAAATCATCCACAAAGAGGAACACTGGTTTAGGAGAAAATTCAAAGAAGCCGCGTATATGTTGTCCAACAACGCATTTAGTCAAGCTAGCGTAGAGATACGTAACATATGGAAACCTCTAATCAAGCGAAAAACGACCAACTCCCGCCAAACGGTCATCTCCCGCTAAAACCAATGAAGCGGAAAGAGGGAAGAGGGGATAGGTGAAAGCACTCGAATGACCTATAAATAGTCAGATCTCGGAGGAATAAGTCCAGTTATCACCCGAAGACGATTGTGGATACTAACAATCGAAACGTCGTGACGTAACTTGGTTTGGAATCTTTTAATTTTTATTTTTCATTTTTTGTTAATAATATTTTTTAATTTTCAGCTTTTATTAATATTTCAATTTTTTATTTTTTTGTTGTTGCTTGTATGTTATTTCTTTGTAATTTCAGTTTTTTGTTTAATAAAATTGTTATTTTCGGTTAATCTTTTTAATTTTTTTAAAGGGATTTCAAATCAATTTATATTATATTAGACAATGGAAGTCCGAACTGATGAAATACACCACGAAACATTGTCAACCACCTTCAAACAGACATTTTCTTTTATTGTATTCAAACATATTTTCCATGTTGTCATCAGTTGTTTCGAAACAAGCCCCCTGTGAAGTACCTATTAAAAAATTGTGCTTCAGAGTTCAACTGGAAGAATAGAAAAATATGTTAATATTGAATATTAACTTGCACCGAGCGAACAAAAAAAGGTTCGCAGCTGCTAAAGGAGCACATTTTTTCCAACTCTGACGGAACAACTCATATTGCTACTGATTAAACGAGTATTTTTTCGACTATATTTCTTATTATACGAAACATATTTATATACTGGCACCTTCACCATATAATACACAAGCGACTTCGCCAATTTACAAGTAAGGAAAGTGTTGCTGGCAGAGATTTTCCAATCCATTCATTACGTTCATATTAGCACATAATTAATTATGAGCTGCATATTTGATTTTCGATCTTGATGTTCTGTTTTGCAGAGGACATCATCATCAAAATTAAAAAGTATTATCAAAATAGTAAATGAAAAATAAACCAGAAATATTTGAAGAACTTATCAAATAGTACTGTACTTTGAAAAGTTCCATATTATTTCTGAGAAGCAGTTTGGTTATAGAGAAAATTTGATTTGGTAAATTTCGAAACTGTCAATTGAAGGATTGGAAAAGTGTCAAATGACAAACCTGAAGTGAATCAGACAAACAGACAGACTTGAAGTAACAGATAGACTTCAAGATATGTGAAAGATACTTGATAAAAATCTATAATGTAACAACTGGGCTGAAAAGTTCCGGACCTATTTATCAAAGTAATCTTCATCAACAGCCAAACAATCATTCCAGCGTCGCTCTAACATTTCGATAATACTTTTGTAGGCCTCACAATAGGCCTCAGTTTTAGCAACAACCTCTTAATTCGAGCGAAATTTCTAACCGGTAGACACTTTTTGAGGTCTGCGAAGAGCCAGTAGTCGCTGGGAGCTAAATCTAGCGAATACGGTGGATGTGGCAGCAATTAGAAGATGAATTCATATAGTTTTGCCATTGTTTTGATCGACTTGTGACACAGTGCGTTGTCTTGATGAAACTTTTTCTTTGACATATGCGGTCGTTTCTCTACAATTTTAGCCTTCAAACGCTCCGATAACGCTATATAATATTCACTGTTGATGGTATTTCCCGTCTCAAGATAGTCGATGAATGTTACACCACGCATATCCCAAAATACTGAGGCCATAACCTATCCAGCCGATTGTTGTGCTTTCGGGAGCTTTGGATGAGGTTCACCAGTTGCTCTCCACCCAGATGACGATCGTTTTGATTCCGGAATGAAGTGATGGATCCATGTTTCATCTATTGTCACATATCGACGCAAAAATTCCAGTTTGTTATGTTTAAACATGGCTAAACACTGCTCAGAATAATCAAGACGTTCTGTTTTCAAAAACTACACCTCACGATTTGATTTCCACAAACTTTATTTGAAAAATATATCACATGTTTCGCTAGCACAGTGGCTTTCCCAAATCACTTGAGAAATTACTATGGATCTTCATCAAGTAACGGCCGAATCAATCAGAAAAAAAACAAGACACGTGATATGATCAACATTTAGTTGGAAAGCAATCTTTCTAGTACTGGTAGTAGGTTGTTCTTCAATCAAATTAATTACTGCTTCCTCAAGCTGTGGTGTTCGTACTTCTCGATGGCGACCACAATCCTGCGTTCTTTTGTCGAATGAACCATATTCTCGTAATCGTTGATGTTGATGAAATTAACGTAATCGAGCAAATATTCTATGTGTAGGATGTTGCCGTTGCAGCATCCTACACATCTTCTAATCCATTCCCCTGCGACAGACCGTAAACGTAATGCATATCAGCCATTTCCTCATTTGTGTATGCCATTTCAATAGTGTAGTGCTTGTAGTGAGTTGAATGTATAATATATAGAGAACAATAAAGGGCCGAGTATGGATCCTTGAGGTACCCCTGATTTGAGATATAAGATATCTGAGTTATATTCCTCTGTACTAACCAGTTACTGTATATTTTTCAAATAGTCCGTCAATAATACAAGAGTTTCTGATGAAGAGGAGTCCGTAAAAAACTTTTCAAGCCATTTCTTCACTTGAACGGTATTTTTTCCATCAAGAAGCAGTGTAAAATCAAAACACGAAATTGTTTTTGATCCATTGTTTTGAAAATAACGAAAGTAGTGTCAATTTTAGCAAAACAACTCACAAACTTGTGAGTAGAATATTATGAAATTTAAACAGCATTCTTCTGATGGTTAGTACTAACTGAAAAAGCAGTGGAAGCAATAAGACTAGAGAAAGTAATAAGACTTTGTAGCCCATGTAGTACTTTGAAAACTTCCATATTATTTCTCAGAGGCAGTATGGTTTTAGAGAAAATTTGATTTGATACATTCTGAAACTTTCAATTAACGGATCTGTAGTGAACCAGACAGACAGGTAGATTCCAAGATATGTGTCCAAGAAACAGTATTGTGAGATATTCACTAAACAGTTTTACGAAAACGCAACACGTGTTTTGTTATACTTCTGACTCCTTCCGACGTGTCTATACTGAATTTAATCTGTCAAATGGTAGGTTTGCTCAAGTGGATAGTATCAGAACGTATATTTCCACGTGAAAATAACGCTGTGACTTTTCGAACATAAGTTCTCGCGGCCTGTCACGTTCCACATACCAGAAATACGTCCCGTCAGAAAAAAGCTAGCAGATTACCATAACATTGTTACGAGAAAGATTTTCGTGCGATGCGACTGGGCGTGCTGGTCGAGGCATCGTGCGAAATGGGAGCGCTGAAGAGGAAAACGGAGAGATACACGCCGAAATCGTGACGCGATTCTGCAGACGCGTGACTGCATCGCGACTTTTATTCACGCATCATTGACCATACTAAGCTCGTATCTCCGGAACGCACATCGAGAGGTTTTCTTTGTTCTGCTTCCTGCTCCGGAGAAACTGGGCATTCTGGTGAGCGGCCGCTTTGACTATTAGTCCATTATTACTATTG